TAGTGATGAACACTATATCAAAATATCACAAATCGTATCTAGTTGAAGACATTACCCTTAAAAATTGAAAAATTTTCCCTTGTTCCCCGTAAATGGAGGATATTTTTAAAAAAATTACAATTTTTCAAATTGGTAAATTTTGTCATTTTTTTCACTTTTTTTTTTTTAAACTACCATAACTTTTTTAAAAATTAACAAAACAACTTAATTTATTTTTATATTGAAACCTTAGATATTTCCCTTTCATTTGATATAATTTTTTTGAAAATCTGACTAAACCTACCTACAGGAGGAATTCAAAAATCAATTTTTGCACACAAGTTAAGCTTTTTCAATGTAATTTTAAAAAATATTCTGGAAATATTGACACTTTTATTTAATTTTAAATTAAACCTTATATTATATACTTTACTATGAAATAAAATTGAAATATAGAATTTCTTCAAGGTGAAAATGGGTACCGTATGTGTGTTTTTGTGTTAAAATTATCGAATTTATATTTTACATTTTTAACTTTGCTATAACTTTTTAAAAAATGTACGGATCAATACAATTTTTTATGAGAAATAATATATATATACTTCTTTCATGTGACATACTTTTCTTTAAATCGTGTCATTACCTTTTATACAAAGGGGGTTCAAAACTTAAAAATGCATATAGAAAATAGAACATTTTGAACCTAATTTTTAAAAGTGTACCGGAAATACTGACACTTTTATATATATATTAAAATAAAGCTTATGTAATATACTTTATTATAGAAAAAAAAAATTTCTAACTTTATTTTATTTTCACGGTAAAAACGGACTTCAAAGTTAATAAATAAATAAGATTTTTGTAAAAAAATTCTTTTTTATATTTTTAACTTTATAACACTAATTTTTTGAAAAAAAGTTCATATAAAAAAAGATCATATAGCTTTTATAATTATCCACCAATTTCATAGAATTAAATACTATTTACAGATTTGCATCGAAGCGTTTCTTATAATAGTGATTTTAATCACTGTCAAATTAAATCTATACTTGTCCCAACTATGCCACGTCCCCACTGTGGTCCGACCCCACTATTCTGGTTTTTTTTAAATATTCTTTCAACATTTATTAAAAATGTTGTATGACTACTAAGTTTTATTTTAGAAGTACGTTATTATTGAGTTTTTATGTGATAATTAAAAATTATAATTATATAAATAAACTATTTTTTATAATTCATTAGATATCCTTATCATATTCATTAACCACTAGAATTCTTTTTGTATGATAATATTAAAAAGAAATTTCTAGCTTTGTTGAGTAGTATTTATTTTTCGATTTATAAATAGTTAAATATTTTTAAAATCTACCCCTAAAAGACCATAAGGGTATCAACTTTTTTTTAAATGACTACAAACGCATTTTAATAAATGTAATGATAAAAAATATTCACATTGAGAACGTTGATGTTGGATGTTAACATTAACATTAAACTAAGAAAATGTCTTGACCAGTCATATTCCATAAGTAAAAGTTTTTTAACGACCGTAGCAACTTTTTATTGAGAATTTCAGAAGTTGGATCATTTTTTGTTTTATTAGAAAACTGAATATTTATTATTTTTATTAGATTATTCAGATTATTTTAGTATACTTAGAATTATAATAAATTTAATTCTCAACATGTGTTTAGACATTACACGTACGAAATTTAATGTAAAGTGTGTTTATAAAATAAAAATAAATATTTGTATTTTTGCAAATATAAGTTAGAAATATTTAATAAATATTGATGGTAAATTTGTTTTTAAATTTAAAATTCTTGACTTAATAAATCTCAAAATTTTTTTTCTCATAATGAAATTAAAATTTTAAGTAAACATTAACAAATATGTTTTATTTAGAAGTAAATATATATTAAATATTTTATTTTTTTAAATAATTTAACATTTTATCTTTATTGTTTAAATGTTACTATACACAGATTTACTGAGTATTTTGCATTAGACTTATTTTTAATACCTAGAAAATTATAACAAATTTAACATCTTCATTTATTTTTGGAAAACACCATTGAAGACTAATAGTTCTTTATGATATTAAACTTAAATACTAGCTATACTGACTCAAGAAAATGATACTTATCAATAAGATTTTATAAGAGTAAAAATCAGGGATTAAAACCATTTTCATAAAGTTAGTATTATAACATTATAACTGCCAAAAAACAATTGAGATCGACTAACGAAAAACCTATAATAAGGACAATTACAACACATAATTAAAATTGAAATAAAACTAAGACTAAATATCTAAAACAGAAAAAGAAAACATACAGATGATTCGTTATAACTTAGAATCAGAATCGTCAGTTATTTTCTCTGCCTACGATTCACTGCAGTTCTCTCTGAAGTCATCGTTTTCCGGAATCGCCCAAGCGATGAACGGCTATGATGGAAATACCGAAGATAGTCCTCGTGGGGATAACTGGTTTAATTTCTGTCCGTTCATTGCCTACCACTTCTACAGTTCCCCATGACTCAGTCGGAACTTTTTGTATCAACAGAGGAAACCCCTCCTTGTAATTTCCACTATGTGTATCGTGACTAGTAAACTGTAGCCGGTGCCGCGCTGGTGTGTTAGGTATCTTAGTGGGGGTAATATTCACTATTAAATATTTAAAACGATTTCGGTTACAACTTATAATGAAATAGTCAATAACAGCAGAACCGTCAAGACCCACGGAGTACGTTTTAATTTTAGTAAAAACTAAAATACAGCAAAAATCAGGTAATTTATTTTACAATACTCTTAATTAAATTTAAGCAACGTTTTTTTATTTTCTATAAAATATTTGAAAGTCAAAACACACATCGTCTATGTTCTGATTCAATCAGTCATATGAATAAAAACTCTACATATTAGTCGGAAAAGTTTCATCAATTTAGTTATTATAGTTTTTGTTAAAAGTATCGTAAAAATATAATTTGTATTCGTAGAACTTCCTATTTTATTTTATTTATCTTATAAAATTTATTTTGCTCGAGTTACGAACAACTATTTTTGTCGATAGACGATGCATGTTTTTTTAAACATTTGTGTTGGTTTTCTTTCACTTATATAATCGCATGTCTAATAATAAACTATGAGTAATTAATATTAAAAGTTTTTAATTTAAAATTATCCGTACAAATAGATTTGATGTTATTTAGGTAATATTGTATGCTTAATGTTTATAAAAATAGAATGCACAGTTTGTAGTTAACAGTGGGTGTAAAGCAACACTGCTGTCAGGATAGAAAGGATCGTGGGGTTCAAGGTTATAACAATATTTGGTTTCTCTATATTTCACCTTGGTTAATAATTTCATATTTTTACACGCATAATACAAATATATTGGTATAATATAATGGTATATTAAATTAATATTCAATTTTTAATTGTATAAAGTTTTTTAAAATATCTATAATGTATTATGTGTAAAAATAATTCATGCAAGTAACTAAATAATTCTTTCAAATACAAAAAGTTATAAGAAAAAGTAAAACGAGAGCTGCTGTGGTATTTGATACTTTTCTGTTAGTCGCATTATTTCATATAGTTTAGAAAACCGGTTGTTAAGTAAGGAATGGCTAACCGAGAATACTCTATGCTGCAACAACAAGCAAGCGAGATGACTAATTCTTGGTAGATAAACGTTAAATCGATNCATATAGTTTAGAAAACCGGTTGTTAAGTAAGGAATGGCTAACCGAGAATACTCTATGCTGCAACAACAAGCAAGCGAGATGTTTAATTCTTGGTAGATAAACGTTAAATCTCTTAAGTTTAATTTCTTACAACTTACAGATTTGTAGGATATTAAAGAAAACCTTCGTAGGTACATCTAGAAAAAATGTTACAAGGGAAGGTTATTTCATAGATTAAATTATACTCTAGATAAAAAATACTAATTAACGAATTTGAAATCAAGTTTATCGCTGAACTGAAAATTAATAGATGGCGCATATTTTATCGATTGACAAAATATTATTGTGGTAAAAATAGAATGTGGTGAAACCGGGTTGACTAATAATTCCGAGACAACGATAACTAACAATAATATGATTATTTTCATTTACATTATAAAATTTTTTGAATAAAACGAGCAAGATTTCTAATACTACTAAGAATATTAGTTATGTATTAAGAGCATGATATTATTAAAATATGTTTGATTAGTTTTTGATTTTATCAAGAATGTTGACAATCTAAATATTAATTATTTTTTAAATTTGTTACGATATCGTAATAAACGAATTACAATCGTACACTAATTTTTTTATATCATAAATAACCATTGTCAAAATATATATTCTGGCAATTTCGGATTTATATGTAAATCAACCAAGTACGACAATATTTGAATAATTAAAGGCGTGTACACATAATTTCCCAAATTTCTAGACAAAAATATCTTTAAGCAAGTACGCTACTTGCTTTAACACAATAATATATTATTTATTTTCTGGCATTAAAAAAATTCCAAATGTAAGTACACAGGAATTTTATTTAGTATTTATTACATGTTTGTAAACGTATATTATTACAAGCATATAATTAAAGAAAAAACAATAAAGATTTTCGTATTAAGAGAATGTAATTAAAACATGAAAATGTTAACAACAAAAAAACTGACTTGTGTATTATTCCGTGTGTAGGTATAATTTTCTTGAAAAAACTAGGACTAGTTTTCTATATGCAATATATAATATGTATTAGATTTGTGTGTTATTACATGGCATTATTAACAAAGGCTAATGACCGAAATTAGAATGCATTTCGATTGAATTGTCCTCAATACAACGATGATAACGATGTAATCATAACAACATTGTAAATTTTTATTATTAGTCCATTCTATTGATATTAGTATTATACATTGTCATACTGTGTTGTACGCTAGTTAGTTAAAATAGTATTATTAACAGAATGATGGGCGCTTTTCACGTGGTTGTTAATTTGAAAAAATATATATTTTTAGAATGCCTGTTGATTTTTACTACACACCTGGAAGCCCACCATGCAGAGCTGTCTTGCTCACAGCAAAAGCTATTGGTCTCGAAATGAACTTAAAACTTTTGGATCTTCATCACATGGAACACATGAAACCCGAATTCTTGAAGGTATAGTGTCTTTATAATTTTTGGCTTATTCACTATTTGACTATTATTATTTTGGTTTTAGATTAACCCTAATCATTGTGTTCCAACTATAGTGGATGGCGATTTAGCTATTTGGGAAAGGTATTCAATTATACATTTTTTTATTATTTTAAAGGTACTTTAATACTGTATAAAAATTGACGTGATTTTATTAACGAAAATCATAACAAAATATTTTCGGAAACAAGTTTGACTGATATCAAAAGTATCAAGATGATTATTTTTGACATTAATTCATTATTTAAACTAAGATAATTTTTAATTCTTAGTGTTTGTAAATAAAAAAACATTGAATAAATATTTAAACAGTTAGTAATATAAGATATAGATAGTTACATCTCATGAGATATAATTATCTATATTATTTGAGTTATTAATATTTATAATGTTATGTACATATACAGGAAGTACTTGAAAACATCACATAATTCTTAATATATTTTTAAAGCTCAAATTACAAGGTCTTAGTTTAGTTTTAGTTTTAGTAAGAACTGCTTATATACTCAAATCTATAATTCCATCGTGCTCACCTCGTACCAAACTATATTAATTTGGTTTCTTCACATAAGTGTTTCCACCGAAGTGTAGTTGCCATTGTTGAATACCTGAGACTTAATGCAAGACGTCCTACTAGGCCGCACCTATATACAGGGTGATCAAAATCTGGTAAGACACTTATTTTCTCAGAAACTATTGAGAATTTAAATTTTTGTAAAAAGAAAAATTATTAAGTTTATAAAACTCTACAATAATATGAAGTAAAATAAATTTTTTTTTTATCCCTTCAGGGATAAAAATGTTAATTTATAATTTTTTTAAATGGGAACCACTATTTTTGATTTGATAAATGATAGAAAAAAAAATTACAAACAATTTTGTTCTTATAATTTTTTTATCCGAACAACTGTTTACGTTTTATAATTGTTTAAAGATTTTGACTTTCAGAAAAAATATTGTCGTTTATTACGTTTCATAATATCGGTGGCAGTGCAACCGGTATGTTTGTTAGAGCCTTTAGTCTTACAAAACTATAGACTTGGCTATTAATAATACACCGAAAACCGGTTTGAATATTATTATTGTTATCACTCATTTAGTGCGTAGTAAATTTTTATAGTTAATTTACCTGTCATAACTTGATCAATAAAATTTGGTTTATGCAACAGCAAATAAAAATAATGACTTCTGTATTTAATACAGTAAAATGACATTAGAAATTTGGCCTAAAATCACTTTAATAAGCTGTAACGGACGAACGGTTAAGAACAAAATTGTTTGTAATTTTTTTTCTATCATATTATAAAGTTAAAAATAAGGGTTCCCATTTAAGAAAATTATAAATAAGGGTTTTTATTCTTGAAGGGATGAAAAAAATAATGGTTTGACTACATATTATTGTAGAGTTTTTTGAACTTGATATTTTTTCTCTATAATAAAATTTTAAATTCTCAATATTTTCTGAGAAAATGAGTTTCTTACCAGATTTCGATCACCCTGTATATTCAAATAGTCCTGTCTCTCTAACGAAATTAAGTATTTCTTTGGATTTTTGGTTCTGAATAGTCGAGATATAAAGGTCCATTACAACAGAGCTTGATATTATGATAAGGCTGTATACACTGGTGTACCATGTGCTATAGAAGATTCCAATGGTCACTTTACCTTTCAGCTAACTACCCTGTGACAAGTTACCAACCCTTTCACTTGGTATGCCTGGGTTAGTGGCGCTTATTCACGGTTAACAAGCTGGTATGCCTACCCAGACCTACCGGTCTCAATTAACCAAAGTCATAATTGACAAAGAGCTGTGGCAGGTGCTGCCACCCCCACTGAATTGACTAGGGTCTGCAGGTTTCTTAAGCTCGTGATCCTTATGGATCCCCCTGCGGAAAATAACAAAGTCTTAGTAGTATTTTTATTTGAAATTTTTAACATAATTTAATGTTTAAAATATTATAAATTAAATTAATTTAAAAATTAAATCTACTTAAATTCACTTATTTTTATTCTTCAACATTGGATGATTTATTGAAATAACAATAAAAAAAAGCTAATTTTAAGATATTCCTCGCATGACAATTAAAAAAAGTACTATATGTTTTTACATTGAAATTTTTATTTCAAGATAAAAGTTTTAGTTATTAAAAAAATATATTTATTGTGATAACCTTCACTAACCTCTATTAACTTAAAAATAATGATCTTACATATCAACATTAATTGATGATTTTTTTAGTCGTGCAATCATCACTTACTTAGTTGAAAAATATGGAAAAGATGATTCACTATATCCTTCTGACCCTAAAAAGAGAGCAAAAATCAACCATAGTTTGTACTTCGAAATAGGAACATTATACTCGGCATTTTCTGATCAATACGTAAGTTTGATGTTTATGATATTTATCAATTTGAAAATAATTATTATAATCTCATTTGATATTTTACTGAATTTTTAGTACCCATGGATTTTTGCCGGAGTACCAAAAACAGATGAGAAGGAAAAGAAAATTGCTGATGCATTATCGTTATTAGATACCCATTTTCTTGGTTCCAATGCTTGGATAGCTGGTGATTCTATCTCAGTTGCAGATATATCCTTTGCTGCTTCAATCAGTACTATTGAGGTTTGTATCGATAGTTAATATTTATGGAGATTTTATGTACTTTTATAGTTGATTTATTTAAAAATTTAATTTGTGTACACAGGCTCTTAATGTTGACTTATCTCCGTACCCCAATATAACTAGATGGTTGTCAAAAGCAAAGAGTTCACTAGTTGGTTACCAAGAATGCAACCAAAAAGGAATTGATGGGTTCAAAGCCATGGTCGCCGCTCTTACTCAAAAATAATTTTTATATTAACTAAATCAAATTAAATAATATAATTTATACTATTGCACTTTGCAAGCACTCATTTATATATGTTTTTTTTATAAATGTTTATTCAGAAATACACCTAATAATTTTATATAATATACTTTTGTTTTCATTTTTCATTTTTTAGTTAAATATGTTAATTTAAAATTCACGGTAAACGAACTTCAATAGTATCTGACAGTTAAACACCTAGAAGTACTTTAGGAGGTCATATCGTCTGACCTTGTATATTTATAAAATTAAGTTTGATGTTGCTCGATTTGTTTCATTAGTACTTTGTAAATTATATTCACAATCAAATAATGTGTATAATAAAGCACTAAATGTATCAGTTATGTACGTCGTGTTTAATACATTATAATGTTGTTGCTATAGAAACAATGTGTTCTAATTTCTTACTTCTCGAATTGTGTGCAAATAACATTGAATAAATTTGTCTATGTACAAATTGACGAATTAACGAACGTCTAGTTGCTAAAGTTAAATTTTGTAATAAAAATGTAGCCATTTTTCGCTAAAGAATTTTTTACTTTTGTTATTTGAAATAATTGTTTTTTATTGTAATTGTAAAAGTAATTACAGTTTTTGCATATGGTTACTTATTTTTTAAGTGTATTGTCTCAATAGCTAAAATGTATATTTGCAATGGTAAGATAATTTTGTTGTGATTATTTACAATTACTAAGTCTTTTTATATGTATTTTAGAAGGTTCTTAGTAAATTACAACTACAGAATTTTGTTTTATGTCTGAAAGGTCAGGGACCAATTCTTAAAAAATGGTTAATATAGTATGTGTACTATAGTTTATAGTTATTTATTTATAATGTGATTTTTAAACATTGATTTGTTTATAATTAGTTAGGTAGGGCATAAATACTCAAATATTTATATAATAATTATATAATATTATAATTATTATAAAAATATTATAATATTATAATAAATAATTATATAAAATTAAAAACTTAATTTTTAAATTATCAGCGCGAGAAATTTTATTTTAACTACGAATTTTTTTTTTTATAAGAAACATTTAATGGCGGCGTGACAAACCCAGCTATTGACGTGTCGACTCCTCTTTTCACTTAGCTCGGCTACCCCACAATTGTCTTGCTATTCTGAACTAATATACCTAAAGCGTGTATGCATGGACGCAACTAGTAGGGCTTATGAAGGACCCTCATTCAAACATCAACTCTTCAGTTTTAATTCGTAAAATCTATTTGAAAACTTTTTCTTATTTAATGTAAAAATTAAGGATATTAGATTTTTATATCAGTAGTTAACAAACAAACATAATAAATTTTTTTTTATATAATCTAATACTAGTTGTTTTAATAACTATTAATATGATTATAAGGTATATGACATATAATGTTAATACAATAGTTTATTTGTAAAAAAAAAAAATATATCTTTTTATTTGTTTATAATGTCATTGGTATGTAGTTATTTAAGAAATGTTACTTTTTGTTTATGTATGTTTTTGTAAATATATGGGTGTTGTTTATAAGCATAACATAATTTCAGATTCCCCAGCATTTTTAAATTTTTGCATCTTTGAGTATACATAGGTGCAACTAATTACATAAAACAAGTAGTAATTTAAAAATTAGTTAAATATAAGTAAAGATAAAGTTTTAAATAAAAGCTTTGGTTTAATGGTCTATCAATAGCTTTAATTTTAGTTTATTTGAGCGACAAATTCAATTAATCGTTTTAAATAGATGGAAAAAATATGTTTTTAATGAGTAGAGCAATAAATTTTTATTTAATATTTATTGTGAAATTTTAGCAAATAAAAGTATTTGCAGAAGGGCGTATATATGAAAGTAGCTATATACTTAATGACCCGTATGGCATAAAACAACTTCATCTATTTTTACCTTTTTAAGATCATTCTATTTGGTAAATATTAATTTGTACTTAAAAAATGTACCTAGGTAAGTTTTTCATTAAATTCATGTCTACATAAAAAACAAGGTAAATAACATTTGTAATAACAGTGAGACTATTAAAAAATAAAAAAACAACTATTTTTATTTATTTGTGGTAAATTAAACTAATGATTATAAATCAATAAACATCAATTCAATTAGTTTTCTTATATTTAAATTATTAATAGATAAATAGTAGTTATCTTTATTTGAAACGTGTTATAAGTATGATAGTTTTATGTAATGCTTATCGATACGTACTACTATTTTTTTTTCTAGAATAGTAATTATATAAGATCTGAAAAAATAATATCATCTCCGTTTTTAAGAAATTAATTTTATAAATACTAATCAGTTAAAATTTGTTATTAACATTTTTAAGTGTTAAGAAAGAGGTCTTATTTAATTTCGTTCGTTGTAGAATGGCTATCGATTTGTATTGTGATGGACCGAGTCCACCATGCAGAACTGTGAGATTACTGGCAAAAAGTTTAAATTTGAAACTAAATCTTATCCCAACAAAACCGGGTAATGGGGATACTTTAACACCAGATTATAAAAAGGTATTAACATGTATTATTAATCAGTTTTATCGAATGTACTACTAAAGCTAAATGATTTATATTTTAGATGAACCCCCAACATACCATACCTACCATTGTTGATGATGGATTCGCTCTGAGTGAAAGGCAAGTTAATGTATTCTAGGCATTAATCGGTGAATTTTTATACATTTTTGTGACAATTATTGTGTAAACACAAACGACTAACTTTTGCATTATACTATACAATTTTGAATTTAATAATTATTCTAAAATATTTAAGTGTTTGATACAGTGTAATATTCATTAATTTTCATATTTGATAAATTAAAGGGTAAAACTTATGTGATAAAAATGAACAATTATAGGCATTTTAAGAAAAAAAGCTTATATTGGAATAAAATATAATAATTCATTGTTAAAAAATAATGTTCACGATACTACATCGCTCTTGTACTTGATAATATTTTTTATGAATTATTATAAGATTCGTTTTTAAACTTGATATAATAATTCCTCTAATGATAACTTAAAATAAATTACAGTCGAGCTATTTGCAAATATTTGATTGAGAAATATGGTGACAAAAATAAAGGCCACTTCACTAAAGAACAGTTATATCCAACAGATCTTAAACGTAGGGTAACTATTGATCAAAGAATGGATTTTGATTTAGGAGCTTTATATAGAAGAATTTCTGAGTACTTAGTAAGTAGTAATCAAGTGATTTATCTAAATATAGAAAACAATTTTACACTGTTTAAGAACTTATTATCTTTATAATTTATAAATTAAATTAATAACTATAACTCATTTAGAATCCCTAAATTTACCTAAAAAACATGAATAGGACATTTTTCTTCAAATCAGAAATATATTTCTTTATGTTAATTATACTATAATAACTATATCAACAAAGAAAGTTTTTAACATTACTTACACTTTACAGATATGAAATGGCGTAGTAGTTGTTGTTAAAATTAAACTGATAACTTCTATGATTATTTAGTATTATTGTTAGTGGATTTTTAAATTTATGAACCTATGCTATTAGAAATAATTAAAAAAAAAATTGTAATGTTTAAATTTTAAATGATATAAACATATAATTTTAATATTAGTATCTAAAAAATCTGTTTAATTTTTTGTCTTATGCAACTTTTTTCTTGTGTACTAAAGTCTATCTATATATTTTTTTTTATACTAATTATTTTACAAATCTCTGTTATGTAAAAATGAGATATTGATAATTTTTTTAAATAAAATGTACATTATTAGTAATGTACATTTATATCAATTAATATAATACAATATAACAACGAGATTACTCCGACTTTAAAATTATCAAAGAAAAACTAATAAAAATTATATCATAGAAGAATAGCTATTATAGTACGTTGCATGTTGTGTATAATTTAAAATAAAATTAAAGTTTAATGTAACAAGTGTTATCCATACAGGTGTATCACGAGGTTTTGACAAATCCATATACTTTTCTTATGATGATTTATCAAAACCATGCGGGAACACCATATATGTATAATCAATTGGTATAATATGTGTAATTACTATTGAAAACAAAAGTTTTAATTTCTATAAATATATAGGATTTAAAAGATACTGTAGGTGGGATGATATTTTAATATCATTAGAGTAAAAAATATTTACTTAATATTAAATGAGAATTTTATCAAGTTAAACGCTCTCAACATTTTTGTTGATTCCAAATTTTATGTTAATATTATTCACTTTGTGCTAATTTAAAATATTATGTAATAAACACGTTTAATAAATTTATATAAAACAGAATCATTACAGAAATTATACAATAATTGACATCAATCAAATTTTGAAAAACAATTTTTTCTTAACCACGCAATGAAACCGATAAAATTGTTCAATAACCTAATAAAATACAACAGTAGCTTTATAGGAAGCCACCTAGGGTCATTTAATTATTTATCAAAAAAATGAATAACGTTCATTAAGTTTTGTATATTTTAATGACTATTGGATTGCAATTAATTATAATTATTAATCTTAAATTACATCTTTTTAGTTTGACAAAAAAAGTCTGAAACTGATTATAATTTAATTGGGCTTATTTATAAATCATTAGTTACAATAAAATAAATTATTTTAAGACTGTATCATTTATTGACAAAAATGTTATTCTTCTATTTTGAGTTATAACTAAATTGAAAGTATTTATTTTAAGATTGAGGTTGTGTATGTATTTTATAAAATGTCTATATGTATCGTATAAACAACTAAATTTACACCTTGGTATAAGTTTTTACTTTAAAATAATCAGCTCAAACAGGTTTATGAAGTTTAATATAAACAAAAGTTTTGTATAATTATTCTATTTTATCATTTTTTTTTTGTTAATGCTCAAACAGTCAACGAAGAAAGACGTGCCAGTAATTCAAATTCGCTAACTTGCAGCAATACGCAATATGAATTTTAACTGAGAAGCATCGTCTGTATAATATTGTTTGGATTAAAACTTATCGCACGCGAATACCACAAAGATATCTTATGGGTGATTTCACCAGATTTATATTTTGCTTTATGGATGACTTAGAGATTTTTATTGAAGCCGGTAAAAATAGCGGTTAACCGTATTACATGATTTTCTTATCGGTAAAGTGAAAGAGATACGAACAAAACTTACTTAAAAATTACTTTGACTGTTATATCATTCTTTGCTTAGAGTATTTAATTGTGATTTGTGTTTGTATACGGCCAGAAATTCAATAAAAAGATGTTTATGTGGACTAACTTAGGGTTAAAATGTTTTGGAGACGTCTGTTACGTTGACTTACAACCACTAACGTAATAATGGCGTGGGATTAAAGAATTAATCTTTCTTAGAAAGAATCCGAAAACGCCACTGTTTATTACAACTAATGAGTTTTATTAATATTAGTCGAAGAGATACATTTTATTCTGAGTTAGTCAATTTATATACACTAATGATTAAACAACCATAGTGCATGTATTTAAAGGCACTTGATGGTGTCGAATTGTTAAAACTAAAATTCAAGAATTGTTTTTATAAAAATTTTATAAGTTTTATTAATTTTATAAATAACATATTATAATATGTTATTTTTAACTATTTTTATATGAAAATTTAATAACTCCTTATTTAGATTTAAGTAAATATTATTTTTTCTAATTTTTAGACCCCTGTATTTACGAGTGGTCAATATGGAACAGCAGCTTTACCTAAATTAAATTCTGCTTTGGAAATTTTAGAATTGTATTTGGCAAAAACAAAATGGGTAGCTGGACCTGATGTAACTCTTGCAGATTTTACATTGGTCGTTTCTATATCATGTTTAGAGGTAATTTATAATTATAAGTTGATTTATTCGTCATTCAAAATCCTTTTTAGTGTTAATGATACTAAGGTTATTTATGTCATAACATGCGTTAAGCTATTTAGTGCATTTTTTTGTTGTTCGCCATACAAAGTTTGGCAGCCTAGTACTTTAAGTCCTATTTTTTTTATGTCACTTACTATCATAGTAACTAAACTAATTTAATTGATACTATTTCATTAACGTTTTTTGTTTTATTCAAGTTAATTAGTATGTTATTTCAGTTTTGATAAAATATTTATTATCAAGTTAAAACAAGTTTTGATTAATTAAAATGAATTGCTTTTAAGTATAAAAGGTTTTATTGATTATATGAACATTATTCACAGATATTAAGTTTTGATTTAACAAGTTATCCAAATATAATTCGTTGGTTTACTTTGGCTAAAAACACCCTTCCTGGATATGATGAAGCCAGTCACCAAGGAGTTTTAGAATTCAAAGATATGATTGATTCTAAATTGAAGAAATAAATTAAACTAGTTCATGTATTTTTAGTAAATAATGTGTAGCTAGTAGAATTAATTATAGTAAAGTTCATATTTTATTATGTTAATGCTGTTTAAACAAGAATATATTACAATTTAACAATTACTCATTAAATATGAGATGTTTAGTAGTTTTTTTTAGCTTCAATGTCTTTCATTCTAAAATGATTTTAAAATAATCCATGTTACCTGGTTTTTAGCATTTATATTAAGTCTAAATAAACTTTTATAGAAATAGCTTATATATTTACATAGATGATAATAATATACATTCAGTTTAATCAAAATTTAAGTATTATAATTTTTGACATACATGTATGTACACATATGGCTTGTGAGTCCGATATATCTCAGACTTATTTTTATATAGTCTTAACAATGACATGTCAATTAAAATTTTTAAATTAACTTGATATTATTAATCGAAAACATCAAATTATGAGGAATCTATTGCAGTTGGCTGAATAATGACGGAGACACTATTAATCTCTTCTGTTCTTTAAAGATCAACTAGTCCAGATGACAATAGACGAATTATACATTTGATTCTATGCTTTTTTATATTATTGTTTAACGATTATGCTGAGTTAAACTCAATTAAATTACTAGTTTGATTTTTTTTACATAAAATTTATTTTTGAGATCGTATAAAAAATTTAAGAATTACAAAATAATTTTACAGCTATGATTTATTTAATTATTTGTTAAACGAAAACGCCACACCTAAATATTTTCAGAAAGGACAAGGCGAGTTTTATAATTAGTAAATATTTAGTGTTAAAAATATTTTATTTAATACTTGTAAAGGTATATAAAACTTTTTAAGGTTCTTCTGATATGACAAAGTTTTTATATGTTTTGTTTTACATACAAAAACAATCAAAGTTGTGGCAATATTATTTGATCAATTCGTAATTTATTTTAGGTCTTGTGTTGGATTTAATTTTTGTTTTGTGGTACAGCATTCAATCCCTAAAAAAATTTATTGAGAATTTAAAAAAAATATTCACTATAATTTTAAACAAGGTATCTTTTAAATGAGCCATTAGATAATTCGTTTTATTGTTTATTTAATTTACTCGACTTAATAAAAATATCTTACTATATAGTACAATTATTAAAAACTCTTATCACTTAACATATACATATAAAGTGCTAGACCAATAAAAATAATATATTTGTCAATTTGAGTACACCAGTTATCGCGATGTACTCTGTATTGTGTGAGATATACTTTAATGTTTTTAGTAATTACATTTTAAAGCTTTTTATATTATAAGTCTTATATCCGATAACATTGCAATGTTTTAGATTAAATAGGGTGACTTTAGTGTCTTACTTTTTATGTTAGCAATAATGTTATATAAGTGCTTGAACCTTTATTATTCTTTTAATATGAGTGTAATATACGTAATTTAAACGTCATATTGTTGAACATTTTTGGTTTTTTAAGTATAATTGTCGAAGTTTGTAAGTACCCAACCACTTTCTAAATTTTAAAAATTCTCAAGATTTTTAGTGTCCTTAACAAAGTGCTTTTCCTGTTCAAATAGTTTTTGCTTGGTTAAAAAGTTTTAGGACACAATAGCTAAAGGTCGCTCAAAAATATTTTAGCTGGTTAAACAAAAAACAGCTACCCTTTAATTTTAAAACTTAAAAAAAGTCTCATTGGCAATATATTTCTTTAAACTATTTTCAATAAATATACAGAGTGATTCTTTTAATGCTAGCCACTGTTATAAAAAAATATTAAGATCCATACCTTACATCATGTAGGAGTGTCAACTTAATTTTAATAAATGGTAACTAAATATTACACTAGCTTATAAAATAGAAAATGATATCATTAAGAAAATATTCTATTTTATAATCTAGTTAAATGTGTATGTTTGAAAATAGTGTTAATAGCCCTATAAGATATAAGGGATGAATATACAAAATATTTTATAACAGATAAATGAAAATACATATGCAAGTAACAAAAACCCAAAAAAATTGTTTTAAATCTTATTATTTTAAGAGAAATTGAGTGGCTAGCCCTAAAAGAAACACTACTGTAAAAGCAACTAATATTTTGTCTAGAGTATAAATTGAGTTTATATAATGACGAATAATTTAATTACAAAGTTTATTTATAAAATCTATATAATGATACAATGAATACAAATATTTTCAATTATTAGATATGCTTTATTATGAGGTATGGTATATTTATCTTTAATCAACTCAATTAAGTATAGAAGTACTATTTACCTAGTATAAATTAACATCATGCATTAAAATATTCATCAGTTTGAGAATATTATGTTCTTTTCTGTACACATTGAATGAATATTATTTGTTTAATTATTTCAACAAAATAAACTATTCGTGTACTATAATTTCCAAATGAAGTTAAATATCACAAGTTTTTCAGTCAATTAATAATATTAATAAGCGCATAATTTGAAGATTAAAAAACTGTTGGCGTTTAGTTTGTGATATTTTGTAGTAGAGTTTGTTTATATTTTATTGATGGCTTTAATAAACTAACTGACCAATCATTAAAAATTTCATTGGAAAATATTTTTAAGCATTATAAGAGATTAATATAATAAAAACTTTACTTCAAATGAATCAATAATTAAATAAGTCTTTAAATAATTTGTGTTATTATATTTAGTTTCTACGTTATATAAAATAGACATATTTAACATTTAAACAAATAATAATTGTCTAGACTATATTGGATAAAATACATTTTTATAATGTATAATAATTTATAATTTATAATAATAATATAATTATTGATTTATAATATTAACAATTTAATAATTAACAAAAGATTATGACATTAAATTAAAAATTTTATTTAAAAATTATAAGAATTATTCTGTAAATAGAATTTATTTTTAAACTTCATAAATAAAATAAAAATATAAAACTTTTTTTTTTCAATTTGCAAGTATTTATGTTATATTCTATTAAGTTAAATATATATCACATTTATGTTAATTCATGTACAATGCAAAATTTAAATAACTTTCTCATTTAATAATTATAATAAGTAATATTATAAATATAAAAATGTCCCTTTTGTATTAATACAAACAGACATTCATTAGGTCTTTGTTGTGCATTTAGTAAATAGTAGATTATACTTTCACTTCAAACTCAAAATTTTAAAAATTCTAGCAAATATTTTAACGAGCATTAGAAAGTTTTAATTACTGATAAGAATAATAAATTGATACAATTTTTAGCGCAGAACTGAGTCTCAAGAGTTAAGTTTATTTATAAAGTTGATAAAATACTATAATGAATCTTAATTCGAGAATAAAATTTATTTTTAGTTAATTTTTATCATATCTAATAAAAATTTTTGAATTACTGCCTCCCTTTTTTTTGTCAATCTTAATGATAAAAAACAAAGATTAATGATAGTTAAAATAACAGAGAAATAAAAGGATTAATTATTTTAGAAACCAAACCCAACATGACTGAGTAGATTATACGCGAGATCACTTGTTGTTATTAGATATTCAATCTACGGCCTCGTATGACAAATTATATATAACAAAATTCATGTTATTAATAATACAAGCTACATTATATTGTGTTACATAGTTATATAATTAATCTTATTATACTAAGCCTTTTATTAACCTAAAACATTTTTATATAGATTTAATACTAAATATTAAAATTTAATGATCATTTTATATTTTAGTCAAGAAAAACTAGAAAGTAAAGTTTCATGTAACTTTAAGGATTTCGAAAAATCAAGGCAAAAGTTAGCTTTGAAGTCAACAAACCTATTCAAAAAACGATTGGTGATAAATTATGTCATTATCAACCTTTAATAGGAATAAGTGGTAGAGAAACTAAGAATATTCAAACAGTAAATATTTCCAACATTTGCAATAAATCTAAAAGTATCAATGAATTGGATTACGAAAAAAATCATTTAAAAATTAGAAAACCCAAAAGTACGATTTCTATATCGCGTGTAAATGTTAGTGACAAAGCAAACCGAGAAACGTAACTTGGGTTAATGGCTTAAATGATAATAATTCATTTGTACATACAATGATAGATCTCATTAAGCCGTTGATCTCACCTCCTGTAACGTCAAATATTCGAAATATAAAAGGCAACTTGAATTTAAATACAAAAAAAAGATGAAAAAACCTTTGATTGGCATTAACAAGAAAAAACGATTACTAGTCGTTCACCGATAAATTTTATTTAGCCAAAATGTTCTCTGAATGTTGATATAATGATCAACTTCTAAAATCAAATAAATTATACAGTATCTATTGTTAATTGATAACAAAGACAAAATAATTTGATACACTTCATTCCATTAAAATTATATTTTGTAAATCAAGTATAAGCCTTAAATATACAACAAACTGTTGTATATTTATATGTACAAAATAAATAATGCGAAATTCTATTAATCATAACAACTACATATATATTTTTAAAAAATAATAAATAAACACAATAGTTATATTACAAAATATTTATATGTACTATATGATTGACAATGTTATGTGGTTTTTGGGTAAAAATAATATTATAATAAATAAATCATTTTTTTATTGAGTATAATATTTTTAATAGGAGTTTAACATGACCTGATTTTATTTCAAAAGGAAGAACATAATTTAAAATGAGATTTAATAATACATTTGACGTTGAGCAAAGCAATTGTCAAACAATTTAATTAAAAAACTGACCGCTAATTATTTTTCTAAGTAAAAAGTTATTTTTAATTATTTTAAAGAACTTGTTTTAACAGAATTTTAATTTTGATGAGTTATTAAACAAGAATACAAGCTTATTCAAAATATTTTGATAGTGTGCAGTAATTATAAAGAAATTTGCCTAAAAAAAGATTTTATTCTATTCATATGACCAACTAGAACTTTAGGTACAGTTATCAACTAGTAATTATATTTGTTGTTCTTTACAAGAGTAAAAAATAAGTTAGTTTTAATTATTGTTATTATTGAATTTTACAGAGTTAAATTTACATTTGTTACGTAAAAACATTTTGTCTATTATTTTAACCAATTTAAATATTGTTAGTAACCTAATGACGTGTTCCCAACTATATGAGATCCTCAG